AGTGTGTGTGTGTGTGTGTGTGTGTGTGTGTGTGTGTGTGTGTGTGTGTGTGTGTGTGTGTGTGTGTGTGTGTGTGTATGCGATGACATATTTTATATTTACTATAAAATTATTAAATAATATTTCGGTTTTCTTTTTCTCTTTCTTTTAAATTAATAATTAAATTGAACAAAAGTTGTGCTTTTTTTCGTCCTCTGCTCCGAGCAGATTTCTATATAATAATATATTACTAACATGTATAACTACAAATGATGCATAATCGTGCCCGCTATTTTTCGTGTAGCCATTTCACATAGAGTGTTCAAAATGTTGCATCACGAGGAGGATTATACTGTCAACATGTCATAAGCATGATGCAAACATAATAAATATTTTTTACAATATTTATATAACATATTTTAATGTTCATTTGGTATCAATAAAGCTTTTGCTTTTTCACGTTGACATTTGACGTTTTAGCGTCAAAATAAGTCACATAATCAAAATTGATGCAGAATAGTGAAATTTGAATGATCACTTTTGATCATGTGATCTATTTTCACGTTGAAAGTGAATGTCGAGCGTCAGCAGATAAAGAGGCATCTTAGTACGTGTACGTTGTTCAAGAATAGAAATTGTATCCGGTACAATTTGCCTACAAAAGAAATATGATTGCTATCTCCATCATCCTTTGCACCTCGCATCACTGTCGAGCTATTTTGTACAGATATTAATAGCCTAATATCATGCAGAAATCTGTGGCTTCGAGAGATCAAAGAATTTTTCGCGGCACGTGTTATGTAATTGCGCATATGTCACGGCTGCGCACGCGCACGAAATCGCGCGATGATAATGTGACGTGCGAATGCGCTCAGACGTTCTGAGTCAGAGCGCTCGCATGATGGTGAGCGATTGAACGTCGAAACGACGGACGCTTCTTTTTTTCCGCGGGATGTACGATTGTTCGACGTTGCATCGTTGCGAGGAAAATCTTTTCTATAGTGACCGAGAGAAAAGAGAAGGGGCAGCTGAGCCGACGGGAAACGAAGATGATGTCGCGTTTGCTAACTGTGTGGTCTACTCGCAATCATTTTACTGCCTGTGCGTACTAGAAAAAAATATAGAATAATATAGAATTGTATGTGTATGTGGGAGATAAGTGTTTGTTACGCCGCGCACGCGGGATTATTTGATCTTGAATCTCGCACGGTAACTCGGAAAGATGAACGTTGCGAGTGTAACGTTGCAAAACGATCGTTCTCGTTTGTGTGAAATTCGACGGAAAATCTAATAGACGGCGTGATTAAAGTTCAGTTTCATTCCTTGACTGCTGCACGCTTCGATGCACTCCAGAATCTTGTTTGTCATATGAGCTGGTTTTTGTCAGATTTCGAACGATTTATTCTGTGATTACTCATCTCTAACTAAAATTGATTTATGAAGGAGCGTGATTACTTATCAAAAAAATTCAATGTAATCATTGTATATATATATATATATATATATAATAC